CAAAGTTGATCGAGCAGGATGGCTGGGAGGGTTTGCAGATCTCCCTACTAACTTCATGAGATTTTTTAGTGCAGTTTCTTATGGCCTTGCTTTCACAGTAAAAACCATGTAATTTGCTTCCAATGACAAAATTATTTTTTTTTCCAGGAGAATCATTTGTCATAAAATGATCTTTTTAACTTTTTATTTGCAAAGTGCAATATTTAAAATATCCTTGAGAGTTAAATTTTCTTAACCGTTAGGGCAGGAGCATTTTCAGTTGTATATATTTGTTAGCATAATGTAATTACTAAGGTACATCTATCGAAGCAAAAAATCTATAGCTTAAATCAAAGGGCTATTTGGGTTTTTTTATTATTATTATGGTTTTTCTTTAATATCATGTGACTTAAATCAAAGGGCTATTTGGGTTTTTTTTTTATTATGGTTTTTTTTTAATATCATGTGGGGTGGGGGTATTTATATCTTATAATAAATTAAATTAAACTAAAAAAACTAAAAAAAATTATTGGTACATGCAAGAGGTACCTACACCCTTTAAATAACACATGTGGCTCTTCATGATAAATAAAAGGTCATTTGTGACTGCAAATCATGTGGAGACATATCCAATAAAATGACATATGAAAGGCATTTTGTGGTTGTTGGATGGTGGTGATGTTTCTTTCCTCCTTTTCTTACCTCTCTTTTCCTATTGAAAACATACCAATCTAGCTGAAATTAAGTGTTGTTTTTTTTTTTTCTCTTCTTGTTTTAATTACGATCCTTATTATTATTTATTTATTTTGAATTATTTTTTATTAGTTTTTTGTTTAATTTTATTTTTTAGCATTTTATTTTATTTGGTAATTATATCAAATTTGGTCCATGTTTTTTTATTTAATTTAATTTTTTTATATAAGATTTAACCCTTGTTCTTTTTTATATCAGATTTAATCTTTATTCTTTTAATTATTTTTTTTAATTTCATTTTTTAATATTTGATTTTTTATTTCATAATTGAAAATTGAGTTTCTTAAAGATTAAGCTTCTTTATTTTATTTTTGTTTTTTATGATAACAACTGGATCTTACGGTCGGGTCACACATTTTCCGTGCTGGCTCGAATTAGCTTGAGATTTTATATCATTTTATTTTTATGTAAAAATATTGTCTAATTTTTTTAATTTCCATTTTTATCATTTTTAAAAATTGATTCTGCTTTTTGATTTTCAACCTTTATCATTGGATTGTTAGGGATTTTACTTTGTTATTTTTTTATGTTGTCATTTTCGTCTCGTGATCCAGGTTATGAGTATGAGATGTTAACTTGGGTTAACAGTTATTTTTTTTAACTATTGTTTCTTTACATCTATTTTATTTCTTGGTTTTAACCTTTGACATTGAATTTATTAAATATTATATTTTTTTCTATATATTTTTTACGATGATATTTTAATTTCACGATTCGAGTCACAAGTTTCTTATACTAACTTGGTTTGGGTTAGAGATTTTTTTTTTTTATTTAGCATTAAGATTTATAATTCAAGTCATATTTTTTTTTTAAAAAAAAAACACGTTGTCAGCACTTTAATATTGTTTTCTCAAGTTACAAAAATAATTGACTGGCTAGCAACGAAACAGGAGTTGCCTAGCTAGTAATCACTAAAAGTACACAATTAAGCTTAAATCAAATTCCACCAGCTTATGGGAATGAGATTAAAAAAACAAACAAACAAAACACGTTTTGAGCTTTCAATTGAAACAAGTAAAATAACGTTATTCATTTTTGGAATGACATTTTGGATAATATAATTATTTGATGGCTGTTGCGATATAAAACCATCAGTTAAAGAACATCCGAATCATCAGTGGTTGATATGATAATTAGCAGAAATTCTTGAGAGGTCATTAAGAACATCTTTAGATTGTTTTTCATAATAATAATAATAATAATAAAGATAACTCTGTTAGATCTTACTATGGTACTTAAGCATTGGACATTACTCAAATGAAAATTAAACAAATATTTGAGAAGACAAAGATCAGGGGAAAGATAGTCAATGATGCCAGAAATGAACTTGATTAGCTAAACAAACTCTTCCAACTACGAAGGAGAAACATTCAAGTGGAGAAGGCATGTAAGAAACCCAAACTATCACCGGACTCGTGCTCTGCGTGCAAGGCGAGGTGGGACGTTTATTTTACTATGGTACGAGAAGGCAGGTGAAAATCGTTTTTCCAAAACAAAATTTTAAATTTTTCTAATTAAAAATATTTTTTTATATATTTTATATGCTATTTCAAAAATAATTTTTAAAAAATAATAAAAAATATTATTTTGATATATTTCAATACAAAAAACACTTTAAAAAATAACCACAACCACATTTTCAAATAAATAAAAAGACTTGAATTTACATCATGGAAGGTTATAATACAAAATTTTAAATTTTTCTAATTAAAAATAATTTTTTATATATTTTAGATTATTTTTATATGCTATTTCAAAAATTATTTTTTATTTTAAATTAATATTTGATTGATATTTTAAAATTATTTTGATGTACTAGTATTAAAATTAAATTTTTTAAAATAAAATAATTATTATTTTAATATTTTTTTTTTAAAAAAATACTTTTAAAATATAGCGACAGTACCAAATTCTTATAAATATCGATTGCCAACCCTCTACCAACCAAAGAATCAGCATTCAAATACCATCGTAAATGCCAACTGCCAACCCCATGCAACACAGACCCTTAGGCCTTGACAGCTCTGAATTAAATTTTAGGAAACTTAAAATTTAGAATTAACAAAGAATCAGCATTCAATTTATTGAAAAGTTTATTGTTACGAATCGGATAGTTACGATTTGCTACACTGATATTGATAAAACCCATATTACCAAAATTGCCCATTCATGTATTGTTGTTATTATTATTATTATTATTAAAAATAATAGATATAGGAATAAAAAACAAAAAATAAATTCTAAATTGACATGTAATCGGTTCCAAACATGCATTATTATTATTATAGCATCAACTAAAAGATGGGGTGGTTTTACTTTTTATCGTATCATAAAATAATAGTTATTTTAATAATGTTTTTTTGATATTTTTTTTAAATTTATATTTATTTATCTAACTTTACATTTTAATATTTAGTTTATTAACGATAAAATTTCATAATTTTTATAATTTACTTTATATATAGTTAACTCGATCTCAAAATCCATATCATGGTTTAAGCGAGTTAACTTGGTTGAATCATTTTTTTATTTTTTTCTAATTAATATATTTTTTAAAATTTTATCCTTCTTCAATATTAGGTTGATTGAGAATTAGATTTCATAATTTATTTTAGTTTGATTCTTATAAGGTTATCTCGGTCTCATAACTCGGGTTGTGGATTTGAAGAACTGATTGAGTTGACTAGAATTTTTTTGATTTTTTTTGATTTTATCTTTCAGCATTGAATTGATTATGAATTGGACTTTATGATTTATTTTTGTTTACTTTTGACAAAGTTTTTTCCATCTTATAACTTGGGTCACATGTTTTATTAGTTAGCTTGTATAGACTCGAGTCACTTTATTGTATTTTGTTATTAGATTGATTTATATATATATATATATATATATATATAATTTCAACATTCAACAATATGTTTACTGAAAATTAAACTTCGTAATTTATTTTGATTTACATCACAATTTCATGACCTTGGTCAAGAATTTGACAAGTTGACTCATGTTATTTTTTTTTATTTCCTGTCTACTAGCTTATCCTGATCTCATGAATAAGGTCATGAGTTTAGTAAGTTAATTTATGTCAAGTTATTTTTTTTAATTTTATTTTTTAACATTTAATTGATTTAAAATTATACTTCATAATTTTTTTAATTTTCTTTATATAAAATTATTTTGGTCTCATTACCCGAGTCACAAGTTTGATAAATTAACTCGAGTTGATGCGGGTTATTTTTTATCTTTTTTTAATTTTATTCTTAAATACCGAGTTTGCTTTTTTTAGGTCGCAGGTTAACTGACGGTTTTTTATTTTTTTAATTGAATTTTTTCTTTTGATTTTATTTTTTAACATTTAATTAATTTAAAATTAGGTTTCATATTATTTTTGTTTTCTATGAAGTTATCTCGGTTTCATTACCTAGGTCACGGGTCTAGCAAGTTAACTTAGGTTGACTTGAATATTTTTTTTTAATTGATATGTTTTTTTTTAATTTTGACTTTTAACATTTGATTGATTGAAAATGAAATTTTATAATTTGTTTCAATTTGCTTTTTATGAAGTTATCTTGATCATATGACTTAGGTTGCAGCTTTAACATGTTAACACGAGTTATTTTTTTGATCTTTTTTTAATTGATTTTTTTTAATTTTATCTATTAATAATGGTTTAACTGGGAATTGAGTTTTATTTTTGGTTTTGATTTATTTTTTATAGGGTTATCTTTTTTATTTGCTTTTTATAAGGTTTTTCTATTCTTATAATTCAGGTAGAAAATTTGATTGGTTAACCCAGGTTGAATCAGATTAATCTAATATATTTTCATCTTAATATTATTATTTTTTAAATGTTGTCTTGATTTAATATTTTTTAAATTATTTTTAAATTTATCAAATTATTTGGGTTAAATGAAATTAATTTTCATGTAATTTAATTTTTTTATTTTTTAAATTATTTTTAAATTTATCAAGTTATTTGGGTTAAATAAAATTAATTTTCATGCAATTTAATTTTTTATTTAAAAACATGATAATAATATTTAAATATTTTTTTAACATTAAAAAATAATTCAACACGCAAGTAGTGCAGAAAATGATACAGTGTATTAACTAAACCCTAAAAGAAAAATAAAAAAAAGAAGAAGAAGAAGTGAAAACTAGCCCACGGACACAGCCTAAAATTGTTGGTGTTTGGTAACAGCTCAAATAAGATTAATAACGGATACTAGGAAGTAGGAACCTCCGTTAGCTTATGTGTCAATCGCTTGTAGTTTTTTTTTTCACCCAACAAACAACCAAACCACTTTGATTGTATCAACAACAAAATCAAATCTTTAGAATTGAGAAGCAGCATTGCTCTGCTCTCATTGTTTTCCTCATAGGAAGAGGGGAAAAGTATTGGAGTTTCCTCAATTTGGGTTTGGCATCATCGCCCTCTCTCTCCTTTCCTCAATTTGGGTTTGGCATCATCGCCTTCTCTCTCTCTCTCTGTTTTGTTTATCTCTTACATCCTCGGACTCTCCTACTAACCCAAAAAAAGAAACGTGAATTTTTTCCCTTGCCATATCTAATAAACACCATTTTTTTTTTTTATATATATTTTGTTGAAGTCTCATGGGCTATAGCACTATGTACACCTGTCTTCTCATTTTGTTGTCTCATATATAAAGCTGTAACAATACAAGATCCTTGCTTCTTTTTTTTCTCACTCTTCAAAAATAAAAAATTTCATTTTTTGGTAAGAGAGTTTTGTTTTAATGGCAAATGCATCTGGGTTCTTTAGTCCTTCAGTTCCAAGCCTCAGAGGGAAGATTAAGCCTTCAATAGGGGTTATTGGATCTGGGATTTGGTCCACTCAAAGAATCTCAAAGAGAGTGGTGTGTTCCAGCACCATTGAAGGCTCAGAGAAGATTTCCTCTTCTCAATCTCAACTGCCAAGGTCAGTGTTTTGGTTATTGAATACTTTTCTTAGCTTCAATTGGCAAATGGGTCTTTAATGCAAGTGGGTTTTGATTAGCAATGGTCTTGGCTGTTTATTTGATGGTGAATATTTGCATGAAGTGGGAAAACTTCGTAGAGTTCGCAGCTTAATTGCTGTTGCATGAGCCCTTGTAATTGAAATTTCAATTCCAAGTGGGGTTGACTTTGTTGATTTCGTAAGCTTGAGGTTAAATATGGTAATAGTGTGCAAGTTTTGTTGAATCATTAGCTGGATATCAATTGCAAGGTGATTTTTTAGAGGATGGCTTTTCTAGGATATCTTGAAGTGACGGTGAAGAAGGATTTTGGTTTAAGCATGTCGTGGAAAGTTAGAGAGCTGAAAAAACTATCTATTAGGTTCATAGAAAATGAATTAGTAATGGAGTTTACTGATTATTGGTTGTACAAGGTGGTGCATGACATTCTAATGTCATGTTCTTTTTCAGATGAATCAAATATCAAAGCAACTTGAATACTGGAACGATATCTCTGATTGATATAACAAATGGTGAATAGTTAACTTAATCGACAACATTGAGGTTTACATAGCATCGTACTCTGCAAGCGAGCAATGACTAATTTGAATTGATCAGCTGCCTCAATGTGTATCAGTTCCCTGGCATGCTAACTATCTTGTTCAAATAGTCTGGTTTATAGGAGGCTAATGTAATGGCACTTCAATTAGTGAAAATGGATTTATCGTCTGTCAAAGCTGCGTAGGTTGTATGCCAGAGTAGCGGGGATTGCAACTTAGAGTTTCCTTTAACAGAACAGGTTATGACACAGACGGAAAGAATCAGCAAGCACAAGAAACACACAATTCACCACTCAAAAACCCTAATTCAAAATTTTATTACTGAATATTTTTCTCTTCTGAGTAGTTTATTGAAATACAAGGTAAATAACCTACTTATTATAGTAGTCTTGGGCCCAAACGGAATAAGAAAAAATAAAATTCCTAAACTAAATAGGAAAAATAATAAAAATACATTAAAATAATTATTTTTCTAAACTAAATATGAATCAAAATAGCTAAGGAAATAAATTATTTTTCCTAATAATCCTCTTGCATGAGGTTACATTCATCAGATTGGCTTTGTGAATGACTGAAGGTGATTGAGGAGTTCCAAGAAGAATATGGAGTCTGAAGGCAAATGCTGCTTTGTTTCCTCTCTGTCCTTGCTATTTCTTATTGATATTTTATTCGCAGAGTGCATTTGTTTGGTAGCCAGCCAGATAAACTCCAGATCCTCTGTTGATAGTGATTACTGCATTGGCTGTAGGATTGAGTTAATCTTTTGGATTGATTTTCAAATAAATCTAATCACTCAGTTTTTCTCCATTCTGCACTATTGAGGGTGATATTTTTTGTGATATCTGAAATTAAATTCTTTCTCCATAACTTCAACCAACAATGGAATGCAGTTACTTAATTTACTGTTTTAAAAGTTTTGCACAATCATGCTTTCCTCATTAAACATATAACAATCTTTGGCTCAATAACCAAGTTGATCATAGGTTGTTCTTTCAGCTAGATCTTCATTTTTTACTCCTGCATGTGCCTTTCATTTCTTACAGAGACTCAATGGTGTCATCATGATTAGTGTTTGGAAGAGTAGCTAAGCTTTTATTTGTGAACCACAGATTTTCAGTGTAAATCATAGATATATTCATTAACAACATATTCTACTTAATTTCTTTGTGGAAAGGCGTGAGTAGTTGGTTGAAGCTTACACTTCATGATATGGGGATTATATTCTGGTTAACAAAGCTTAATTACCATGAACTCTGTCATGCATGAGTTCTAAAAGATCTATCGTTTTGGTCTGCTACTGTTTGTGATCTGCAAATTTGGGCACTCTGGTTTTTTACTCAGGCTATTAGTGTCACTCTCAACCATGAGTCCTGCCTGGGCAACAGGCACCCTCAGGCTGGATGTTTTACATGATCTAATTTAATCAAAATTTGTGTTAAAAATAACCTTACTTAGTTATTCTATTTCCACAGGCTTGTCAGTAAGGGCTGCAAATTAGTTGGATGTGGCTCAGCATTACCAAGTCTTCAGATTTCAAACAATGACCTTGCAAAAATAGTTGATACTTCTGATGAATGGATATCTGTTCGCACTGGCATTCGTAATAGACGAGTTATTACAGGTTGGTTTTCAACTGCATGCATTTCAGTGTCGTATATTGGATAGCTAGGAGCATTCTGGATGTCTCGGTTTGCTTTACTGTGGTCGCTTAATTACAATTCTTAAAAGGTGCACTTGAGGCTAGACAAAGGGCAATCATCTTTTGATGTCTTTGAGGGGATTGCTAGATTTTTCCACTTCTGGGTCAAAGTATGATTGTGTGATACCATTTTTTATTTCCTGCAAGATGATGTCTTTTGAATACATCAATCAATCGGGCATCTCTTGTAGTATTTTATTTTTCTGGGCAAATTGTTTACATATCATTGTTGCTGGATCACATACATTTTGTTGCATTTGGTAGTGATCAACTTATACTTAGATTTTCCTTGCATTATTGCTCATATCATCCATACAATGATTTTTTTACTAAGTGGAAGGTGCATTTACTTTTTTGGCTCAAGGTATCCCTTTTGTTGCAAATATCTTAACAGCTGGGTCTTGTCATCACTGCTACAGGAAAAGATAGCTTGATTACTCTATCAGCAGAGGCAGCAAGTAAAGCTCTTCAGATGGCAGGGGTTGACCCTGATGATTTGGACCTAGTCTTGATGTGCACTTCTACGCCAGAAGATCTTTTTGGTAGTGCTCCTCAGGTATTGGATTAATAGGATGCATAATCCAGACTGCAACAAGTTTACAGATCAAACTATTAATTTTCATACTTGAGGTTTGGCTTCATGGTTGTTCAATGTTCAGAATAAAGTTGCATCATGCATTCATATGCACATAGACTAAGGATGGTTTTTGGAAATGCTCAAACAAATGTGCAGTCACACATTTTTTTGTGGAACTCTTAAAATTTGTTGACTATTGATTTCTTTGCTCTTTTACTTGTTTGCTGTTTTCTATCCTTATCTGTATCTTGATATCTTTGGTTTTTTAGATGACATCTTATTTTGGTTTACATGAATATTAAATCTCAAGAGGGTCATGCTATCTATTATCAATGGGGCGTGGGCTTAATGTCTTTTTTTGATTTGAGAGATGGAGAAATGAAGAGAAAAAGAAAAATGGTTTTCAACTCATATCCTTGATAGGAAGGATGAATTATCAGATAAAGAGAACACATGTTTAAGTATTTTGCCATCATGTCTTTGCATGTGAAAATCTTACAATGCTACAGAAAAAGTAAACCTCGTAAAATCAAACACCTTCAACTGCAGCTCTTCCATTTTGCTCTCAAAAGATGTGGTTCAAATGCCAAACATAACCTTAAATATTTTCATCCTGTTTTGCTTCCTCTTTGCCAGACAATGAAAAATTAGTTTTTGTTCCATTTTCTCTCCTATTATTAAACCTCATGCATTTTCCTTCTTCCAAGCGTAGAGTTTAATCTGCACCAGTTAACTGCATTGTTTCAAATAAATGAACACATCCTGTTTCAGGTCTCAAAGCCCTTGTTGCATAATTTTCCATGGATGATTGTGAGCTGCACGTTCCTGGCTATCACATTGGGAAAGAGCAACTTTAAATTTTTGCATGGCATAAATACTTTGTTTATGACCTCATTTGACTAGCTTCTTGTTGTGATAATTTTAAGACTCTCCCATGCTCTTTTTTTTTTTTTGAATTCTCAGGTCCAAAAGGCTCTGGGCTGCAAAAGAAATCCCTTGGCTTATGATATTACAGCTGCATGTAGTGGATTTGTGCTTGGTCTAGTCTCTGCTGCTTGCCACATTAGGGGTAACAAACTTGTTTGCTTTTCTGTTATGAGTCTTGGCTATTGCTTCAATGGTTAAATGATATGATTTCGCTGATGTCACTTACAGGAGGTGGATTTAAGAATGTATTGGTTATTGGTGCTGATACTCTTTCTCGGTTTGTTGACTGGACGGATAGAGGAACTTGTATTCTCTTTGGGGATGCTGCTGGTGCTGTAGTCGTACAGGTAATGTTCTTTTTTCTCAACTTTTTAGCCTGTACTTCTAGATGAGTAATTGCAGCAGTTCAAGTGTCGAGTCATGCTATTTTGGAGTAATTTTCTTGATAATTATGGTGGGGGTTGTATGTCCATGACTGTCAATTCTAACTTATGTTGAGAATTAGTCATATTAACCTATGCTTGAAAGTAACTAAGAGTTGTTAAGCTCCTTGCATGATTTTGGTATGGTTGTAGGTTTCATTGAACATTTTAGTTTCAAAGAAACATAGGAAGAGAACCAAACACTTCCTGTTCAACTGTCTCTGTATCAGACTTGTTATTAAAGGAACTGATGGCTAGATTCTATCTTCCCTTGAATTAAACAGGTTTATGCAAGATAGATTCATAGTATGCTCAGACAAACCACAAGCATTGTTATATTGAATTCTAATCCTTGTCTTCTGCTCAATGTATGCCCTCAATTATCAAGCTTCAACAGCACTCAGGCTGGAGAAAAATCTTATATCAGTTTTGATGTCAGATCTTGTTTTGCTGGAAGTATTTATGAACTCAAAAGCCACCCATTATGAAAAACTGTTTAATTTGATAGCTGCTTGAAAATGGGAATAGACACGTGTGCAATTATTTTGACATTTCTATAATTCTGCAGGCCTGTGATATTGAGGATGATGGTCTTTTTAGTTTTGATGTGAACAGCGATGGTGAAGGTGGAAGGTAGTGCATTTTAATTTTCCCAAGTGAACAAACCCCATACTTCTTCTGGTATGTGATGCAATGTGTTTCCTCCATTTTTTGTTCAGACATTTAAACGCCTCCATCAAAGATAATGAAGTTGATCATGCAGTGGGTTCTAATGGCTCAGTTTTAGACTTTCCTCCCAAACGCCATGCCAACTTTCCCTGCATTCACATGAATGGAAAAGAGGTTTTCCGCTTTGCTGTTAGATGTGTGCCCCAGTCTATAGAGTCTGCTCTTGAAAAGGCTGGTCTCACTGGTTCGAGCATTGACTGGTTACTGCTCCACCAGGTATGAGATATGACATAACTCATTTACTAAGTGTAGGAGACTTTTTTAAGACCTGGGCTTGTTAACACTGCTGTTTCTTATTGTATCTGGTATATGATTCTGACCTCATTATTTGTTCTGCAAAGAGGTGAATTTAAAATTCAATTTTAGCATGATATATCATTTTTCATCTGCATTGTGAGAATGGTTCGGAAAATGTGTTTATGGTTTGGGACCTTTTAGGTAGGGTGATCATGAATGGAATAGACACAATGATGCTCAGATTCACTTGCATTTGTGCCTGTAGGCATTAGGAAGTGTTGAAAGCAACCGAGAATGGACTTGATGTCCATTAATTGATAATTGGATATTTGATTTGCAATATGAAAGGTGTAAATAAGCTGCTGTTGGTAAGTCAAGCACGAGGTAGTTTACACAGACAGAATTTCGAATGAAATCATGTGCGAATTACAAGAGGCTTCTGCAAAGTAATTCTTCTGAAGTTTTATGAAGGAATGCTTACAAGTAACAGAGATTATTTCTACAGGCAAATCAAAGGATCATTGATGCGGTGGCAACACGCTTAGAAGTCCCGCCGGAAAGGATCATATCAAATTTGGCTAATTATGGTAACACGAGTGCTGCTTCCATTCCATTGGCATTGGATGAAGCCGTCAGAAGTGGGAAGGTGAAATCAGGCCATACTATTGCAACTGCAGGCTTTGGAGCCGGTTTAACTTGGGGTTCTGCAATCATCAGATGGGGGTGAAATGTTACACTTCCAACCAATAACCGTACAGAAGAGAATAGAGACTTCCCTGTACCGTGCAGTTCCCCAGTTCTCCCATCGAGTTCCATGTGTATTTTGCAATTTGATTGTCATCTTTTTGTTGCTTTTAGTTTTTGCACGTGCTATAAATTTTCTTCAATTAATTTCCCCTTTGTACCATTGTTCTTTCTCTTGAATTTCCAGTGACTGTTGACAACCAGATACGAGCATCTCTACATAACATGCCCCAAAAACATGAAGTGTAAAGGTAAAATAGGATAATTTCCTTCAAAATTGAGTAGCTTAAATTGTTACAAATACTAATTATCTCAAGTTCTCTCCACCTAAGCAATAAAGGTGATTAAAAGAACAAGAAGGCAAAAACAAGAATAAATAATAATTACAACAGCCAGAAAATAACAGATTTCTGGTCATTGACCAAAGTCCCTTGCTTCCAACCTAGAATTGATCCTCTGCAAAGCACCTTCAACTGCAATGTCAAAGGCATCCTTTCTAGCTCTTAAACCGGATGAACTCCCATGCTTCCTGTACAAAACTCTTGGTATCAATTCTATAACTCTCTCCCTCATCCTCCGGACTTCATTTCTCGATATCCCTGTCAACACATCCAAAATCCTCAACCCTTTAAACACAACATCCTCCTTTGGTATAAACACAGCGAAGTCTCTATACATTTCCTCTGGCAAATGCCAACCATATTGTGACTTTGCAGATTGTTCTTCAAAGAAAACTGGTATACACCCAGCAATAATCCCATCAAAAGTCGACCTCCTAGTTGGTGTGTCCCCTGGAGGCTGCAAACAAAATGTTGCTTGCAGCATTGGCCTCATATACCTTATTGGATCATGCTCACATATCCCGTTGGAGCAATCCACTATATCACAAACTTTCCTCATCTTCGGGTAATCGAACCCTTCGACATTATTGACATAAATGTCACTACTGCTGCTGAAGCTGCTGCTTTCGCATTCATTCCTGATACTCCTCCTGATATTTGGAGTGGAACCAACACCACCCCCACCTGCAAAAAGCATCAAAGTCGTCCTTTTCGACGCCTTAACGCGTTTAATCCAAGACTCAAGAAATCCTAAATTTGGAGGGTGAAATGATGTCAAATAGGGCACAGCCTGTTCTTGCCAAGGCCAAGCCCTTCCTTCAACAATCAAAGCAGTAACATTATAAAACTCTGGCAATTCAAGAAATGAAGTACCCCAAATAGGAGGATCAACATCTACAGATTGAGAGAAATCCCAGGCAGGCCTTGACATGACCAAGAGATGATCAGCCCCATGATTCCTTGACCATATCCAACCTTCATTGTCTTGTAAATAATCATACAATTCAAGCCCATGTTCCATGCTGCTATTCACTTCAGGACCATATAGATACCTCAAAGCATCAATTGCTGCATAGTAAGGTAAGTAAATGGCATTGGCTTGATTGGGATCTGATGTTAAACAAGGGTATTCAAGCATCCTATGGTGGAATATAAGTTCCAACAACAAAGGGTTTGTACGATACCAAGATTGAGACTTGTTGTGTGTTCTGGGCCCTAAACCATGGTTTGCAAGGTAAGGACAGAAATTGTTAAAAAGTGGGTATTCAGAACAGTTTGCAAGGAGATCAAGATTGAACCTTGGCGGTAAACTTCTGACGTGGATCCAACGGTTACTGCAGCCTCTTTCTGTGTCTTTTATGTCTTGAGAAATGATTGAATCAATGGAGATGAAAAGGAGGCAGAAGCATAAGAAAGAAGTGGTTTTGCAGGCCATGGAGATAGGGAGAGAGAAAGAAGAAGAAAACTTTTGGTTAAGAGGAAAGTGAGTAGAGAGAGAAACATAATCATTTTTAATCATGTCTTAGATGTAACAACATTGTTACTGTGGTTTAACAATGCCTCTATGTGCCTCTTCACTATTAAAGAGCTTGAGGGTTAATAATGGTATCACGGTTTAAATCTTATTTTTTATTTTAAAAAATACGACTCAAGACATCCAATAAGCTTTTCATTAATTTTCATGAAGGTGTAGCCTTTATACTTTGTGGGGTTATTGGGTATGTAACAGTGATTATAATTTAAAATATTTTTTTACGTTTAAAAAATTATTTTTAACATACAAAAATATAAAAAATTAATTTAAAAAAATTAATTAATTTTTTAAAATTATGTTTGCAAACACTACCTAGATAGTTAGACCTAGCACCTTTCTTTGAAAATAAATACACACACCTAGCACCTTTCTTTGAAAATAAATACACATACATATATATATATATATTGTTTGTTCTCAAATATCAACTTATAAGAGGGTAAAGCGGAATTCTAAAATATAAGAGGTCTAAAATATAGTTTTCTCTTAAAAATTGGAGTAGGGAGATGATGAAATTTGTAATTGCGAGAATAGACAGTAATAAACAACTAATTCAAGAATATATATGAGATTTGTAAATGGATTATAACTTAATTGATATTAATAATAGATTTCGGAAATCTCTCGGATAACAAGAAATACCACAAGTGGGTTTGACTCCACAATTTTGTCGGTGGAAAAAGGTTCGAACATCTCGCGATAAAAAAACAAAAACAAAACAAAACTACGAGCGGGTTTGACTTTTTGACTAAACAATTTTGTCGGTGAAAGATTGCTGTGATGAGCACCAACTCCCCACCATATGCGGCGGCGATTTCTGTTACCTCCCTACGAGTTGCTCCTTTTTTTTCTACGCCATCTTAAAAAAGGAGAACAGTAGATTCTCTTTGTGCCGTCTCTCTTCTTCCACAAAACTAAATTCGCTGTGTAATATCAGTTCAGAATGTATAATGTATAATCCATAATCAAGTTTATTTTATATCGAACCAGACCAAATAATTTCAACTCATTGAGTTTATCAACCTAATGAGTATATAGCTATGCTTTTTTTTACGAAGATGTTGTTGCAAGAGGAGATGATGAAGATGTGACAACAATGTGTTTTCTGTTTTTAAAAACTTAGTATAAGCACTTACTTTATTTTGGTATTTTGTTTTTCTTTATTATTTTTTATCCAACTTTAATTTTAATTAAATTAGTAAATATTTATATTTAAATGCCGATGCATAATTAATTAATGAAATTGATCCAACCAAAAAAATAAAAATCTTTTAAGAAAGGAATTGAGTTTATGAACCTAGTCAATATAGAGCCATATTATTTTAAAAAGATGTTGGTGTTATAAGAGATGATAAAAAAGATGTGAGAATAATATATTTTTTATTTTAGGAAATTTAGTACAAGCACTTACTTTACATTAGCATTTAGTTTTCCTCTATCATTTTTCTTTATCAAATAAACTAGTCAACGGTTAAATATTTTGATGTAATAAAAAAAATTACAATACAAGATTAATTAAAGAAATTGATCCAATAAAAAAAGATTTTCTTTTAAGGAGTTTATAAACCTAGTCAATATAGAGCCATATTTTTTTTAATAAAGATGTTGTAGTTACAAGAGATGAAAATGGTGAAGATGTGAGAGCAATGCATTTATGTTTTAGGAAATTCAGCATAAGCACTTGCTTCACATTCATATTTTGTCTTCCTTTATCATTTTCTTTTATCCAACTTTAATGGTAATTAAATTAGTTAGCATTTATATGTTTTGACAAAATAAAAAATATTAATACAAAAAAATTAATGAAATTGATCCAATCTACAAATAGAAGGATTTCTCTCTCTCTCTCTGTTATGTTTAGAAAAAAAATTTAATTTATGAACTGGTTCATATAGAAATTATATTTTTTTTAGAAAAATATCATTAAAAGAAATTATGATGATTTTATGTTTCTTGATAGTCTTTCTCAAGTTAAATTGAAAATTCAAAAATTACTTTAACACAATCTATTTTTGTTGATCAAGATGACCAAGAAAGAATTATAAAATCTTTAACTAGTTTAGACATTACTAGTTATTTTAGTTAGGAGATGTTGCGGAGTCATGTTTGAAACCTATTTTTATTTAATATTGTAGAAATTAAAATAAAAATTTATAAGAAATTTAATTGTTTAAATTCTCAAGTAAAAAATGTATATTTTCGGTAAAAAATCTCTTTTCTTATTCATGTATTCTTTTTTTTTTACAAAAATATGTTATTTTTTATCAAAAGCTAGGTTTTTTAAATAAAATTTATCATGATTTGAAAAGCTTTTTAAAAAAAATAAAAAAAAATCTTGTCTCAATAATTTTGATGTGCTATATGAAAAAAATAAAAGAATAATTATATAAAAACTATATCGAGAAAATAAAATAAATATTTTATTTTCATTTAATATTCATGATAAATATTTAAACATACACACACTAGATTCATATATAATTATTCATAAAATAATTGTTAATATTATCATGAAAAGCTATAATCTTATTTAAAAAATATGATGTAACTAGATAACTTTTTAAATATCATCATAATAATTTTATCTAAAGAGAATTTTATTCTAAAATTTATATAAAAAATAAAATAATTAATTAAAAAAATAAAGATGATGAGCCAATAGAATCTAACTCAAATGTGTTTGAGCTGTAGAGGATAACAAGTTCGTTCTTTATAACTGGTTATTTTCTTTCAAAAAAATAAAAATAAATAAGTGAATGGCATAAAATCCACCTTATTATTTTAAAATATAATGAAAGGCATGTAATCCACCAACGATGTGTCCTTTATTGTAATATTCGTTGGTCACTTTCATTCAATGAATGTAAATTCGAGGAACCAAAATATACAATCACTGGTGTTTTGTTTCTTGATAGACAATAAAGATTGTTTTTTTCTTTTTTCTTTGTTTTCTAAATAAAATCTACAGTGATAATCAGCTGTAGATTATAATTATATTTAAATTATAATATTGTTATAATTTCAACTCATTAAAAGTTACTAATATCCATCTGGTATTGATTAACCTGCATCCTTGTCAGCTTTTAGAAGGCATCGCTGATCTCCATAAATACCAACCTGTAGTTATCCCTGATCTCCCTCCACTGCCACAGTTGAAAAATAACTACCCACCAAGAGGCAAGAGTTGCTCTCTTTTTTTTTCTACGCCATCTTAAAAAAGGAGAACAGTAGATTCTCTTTGTGCCGTCTCTCTTCTTCCACAAAACTAAATTCGCTGTGTAATATCAGTTCAGAATGTATAATGTATAATCCATAATCAAGTTTATTTTATATCGAACCAGACCAAATAATTTCAACTCATTGAGTTTATCAACCTAATGAGTATATAGCTATGCTTTTTTTTACGAAGATGTTGTTGCAAGAGGAGATGATGAAGATGTGACAACAATGTGTTTTCTGTTTTTAAAAACTTAGTATAAGCACTTACTTTATTTTGGTATTTTGTTTTTCTTTATTATTTTTTATCCAACTTTAATTTTAATTAAATTAGTAAATATTTATATTTAAATGCCGATGCATAATTAATTAATGAAATTGATCCAACCAAAAAAATAAAAATCTTTTAAGAAAGGAATTGAGTTTATGAACCTAGTCAATATAGAGCCATATTATTTTAAAAAGATGTTGGTGTTATAAGAGATGATAAAAAAGATGTGAGAATAATATATTTTTTATTTTAGGAAATTTAGTACAAGCACTTACTTTACATTAGCATTTAGTTTTCCTCTATCATTTTTCTTTATCAAATAAACTAGTCAACGGTTAAATATTTTGATGTAATAAAAAAAATTACAATACAAGATTAATTAAAGAAATTGATCCAATAAAAAAAGATTTTCTTTTAAGGAGTTTATAAACCTAGTCAATATAGAGCCATATTTTTTTTAATAAAGATGTTGTAGTTACAAGAGATGAAAATGGTGAAGATGTGAGAGCAATGCATTTATGTTTTAGGAAATTCAGCATAAGCACTTGCTTCACATTCATATTTTGTCTTCCTTTATCATTTTCTTTTATCCAACTTTAATGGTAATTAAATTAGTTAGCATTTATATGTTTTGACAAAATAAAAAATATTAATACAAAAAAATTAATGAAATTGATCCAATCTACAAATAGAAGGATTTCTCTCTCTCTCTCTGTTATGTTTAGAAAAAAAATTTAATTTATGAACTGGTTCATATAGAAATTATATTTTTTTTAGAAAAATATCATTAAAAGAAATTATGATGATTTTATGTTTCTTGATAGTCTTTCTCAAGTTAAATTGAAAATTCAAAAATTACTTTAACACAATCTATTTTTGTTGATCAAGATGACCAAGAAAGAATTATAAAATCTTTAACTAGTTTAGACATTACTAGTTATTTTAGTTAGGAGATGTTGCGGAGTCATGTTTGAAACCTATTTTTATTTAATATTGTAGAAATTAAAATAAAAATTTATAAGAAATTTAATTGTTTAAATTCTCAAGTAAAAAATGTATATTTTCGGTAAAAAATCTCTTTTCTTATTCATGTATTCTTTTTTTTTTACAAAAATATGTTATTTTTTATCAAAAGCTAGGTTTTTTAAATAAAATTTATCATGATTTGAAAAGCTTTTTAAAAAAAATAAAAAAAAATCTTGTCTCAATAATTTTGATGTGCTATATGAAAAAAATAAAAGAATAATTATATAAAAACTATATCGAGAAAATAAAATAAATATTTTATTTTCATTTAATATTCATGATAAATATTTAAACATACACACACTAGATTCATATATAATTATTCATAAAATAATTGTTAATATTATCATGAAAAGCTATAATCTTATTTAAAAAATATGATGTAACTAGATAACTTTTTAAATATCATCATAATAATTTTATCTAAAGAGAATTTTATTCTAAAATTTATATAAAAAATAAAATAATTAATTAAAAAAATAAAGATGATGAGCCAATAGAATCTAACTCAAATGTGTTTGAGCTGTAGAGGATAACAAGTTCGTTCTTTATAACTGGTTATTTTCTTTCAAAAAAATAAAAATAAATAAGTGAATGGCATAAAATCCACCTTATTATTTTAAAATATAATGAAAGGCATGTAATCCACCAACGATGTGTCCTTTATTGTAATATTCGTTGGTCACTTTCATTCAATGAATGTAAATTCGAGGAACCAAAATATACAATCACTGGTGTTTTGTTTCTTGATAGACAATAAAGATTGTTTTTTTCTTTTTTCTTTGTTTTCTAAATAAAATCTACAGTGATAATCAGCTGTAGATTATAATTATATTTAAATTATAATATTGTTATAATTTCAACTCATTAAAAGTTACTAATATCCATCTGGTATTGATTAACCTGCATCCTTGTCAGCTTTTAGAAGGCATCGCTGATCTCCATAAATACCAACCTGTAGTTATCCCTGATCTCCCTCCACTGCCACAGTTGAAAAATAACTACCCACCAAGAGGCAAGAGTTGCTAGGGTCCTTGTCCAGCTATCAAATACCACCTTTCTAACCATTCCATTATTCTCTCCAAGAAAGCTCATCAAGATTCACTCTCATCATCTTCTCCAAAATGCCAAGCCCCTTCTCTATCTTTTCTCGCAGCAACACCACCAAACAAACACCTATCCCATTCAAAGACTACTACACAAAGTGGTTCAACACTCTCAAGAACACACTCCTCCCTCTCCTCCATCATTCCCTTTCCAGCTCTCCTTCCTCTCCCACTCTCCTCTCCTCTCACCTCCACCTCATCCTCCACCACCTCCTCTCTTACTACGAGTCTCTTGACCTTGCTGCCACCACCAATACCAAAAATCTTCCTCACCTTCTTTACCCTTCTTGGAGAAACCCCCTTGAAACACCCTTCTTGTTTCTTGGTGATCTTCACCCTTACGTATTCACTAACCTCCTCAGGTCATTTCTTGATGAAGCAGACAGTGATGAAGACACCGAAAATAACCTTAAAGTTTTAGTCTTTGATAGGCCTTGTCAAGTGGTGATGGCATGGAAAGACCCTTCAAAGCATTTGATGATCAAGATTGAGCAAATTGAGCGTGGACTAAGGTTAATGGTACCTGCACTTCTTGATAGAGTGAAAAAAGCACAGTCAGGATTTGCGGGGAAGATTGCAGAAGAATGGGTGAATAGTGAGAGAAAGGAAAAAATGGATTTTAGTGAGGCAATGAAGGCTGAAATGGAGGAGTTAGTGACTGTGTTTTTGCATGCTAATAGGTTAAGAAGAAGTGTGATATCAGAGATTGTTGCTGCACTGAATGTTTATCAGGGGGCTTTGTTTCTTGAAGGATTAGCCCAATTTCTTGTTGGGTTTCAGGACAAGAATTTGCTCCGTGAATTCGAAAGATGCAAGACTCCTATCAGTGAAAGAGTTGGCCACTGACTAATTTATCTTATTATCTTTTCCTGGTCTGCAATGTGTGCGAGTATTGAAAGACTCTGCCTCTTTGGAACTCCATGGTAAGATTATTAGTTCAGTTCAATTTCTGTTAAATTCTTGGGATTTGAGATTAAATCTTTGTTGGGTATTGCTTTTCTGCTGCTATTGCTCGTGATAAAATCTATAAATATTGTTGGCAGGGCATTGCGAAGAAGCTTGAGTACCAGTTGTAATTCTTTAACGGGAGTGAGCATGACTTTTATGTTAGACTCTATTTCTAGTAAGTGATTCGTTCAATTTTTCTTCTCTTGAATCTGGTAAAAACTATTGAAATCTCGATTCATTTGTGATGTAAGAAGATAGATATTCGATGAATGATGAAAACAGATAGCATGATTTCTATACGGAATTATATATTGAATTTGTTCATGTAATTTTTGGACTATTTTATGAACTAAAGTTGTGAATGGCATGCAGGAAGAAATTTCAGTACTGTTTCTACTTTGTGGCGTGTTGAGGTTTTGAAATTCTTGTGCATGTCTTTGTTGCCCCGTTGTTTTTGAACTTCGAAACCTCCAGAAAGTTTGAAGGCAATTTCCTTTTTTTAAGCCCCTTGCTGACAGGGGATTTAGAGTTAGAAAACAAAAGATGGACTAGCTGCCAGTATATAAACCTCAATGTACTAGCCATTTCTTAAGGCTAGAGAAATTGAAGTGATCAGCGTTCTCGACTACTGCAATATTTTTTCTGTGTATAATTTAAGATTTCCTTCGTTTCAAATAATGGCCATGATCAGGTTTTGGGCTGTTTTGTTACGCCCTCTTTTACAATATACATGCTGGCCTTACAGGGTGACACAAAGGTGTCCTATAGGCTAACTTATACCAAATAAAGCCCGATTGATTTTCAATCTTAATCTGGATGGCCCATAAATTGATAAATCAAACCCACACATTATTTTAGCAGATAGCTTTACCTGATGTTCCTCCAAGTTGTTAGCCCACATAGTCAACATTCCTGTTTCTTTTTCTGCTTTGTTTAGTGAACTAGTCGCTAGTTAATGAACAGTATCAATATTCCTGTTTCTTTTTCTGCTTTGTTTAGTGAACTAGTCGCTAGTTAATGAACAGTATGAAATGAACTTGTAATAGATTTTGTTGGGTCTCTTCTACGTTATAGAACCATCACTAGCATTTAAACCATGGCAAAAAATGGAAGCAAGACATCAGTTCATGTTCACTCTAGCAATAATCCTAATCTTTTATGACAATGGCTAAGAAGATGGAATTGATCATGTCCACGGAATACAATTTAGCAGCTTTGTATTGATAGGAAAATTGCAATCACTTTTCAAGAAAACAGGGGAAAAGGGCTGTTGTTGCAGGAGATAGGCCACCAAAATCCAAGGATAGAAGGAGATTTTGACGGATTTTCTTTTTTTATTTATTATTTCTTTGATAACTTTGATGAATCTTGACAGTGAATATAGTAAAAAGAAAAAGAAAGAAAGAAATTTGCGGAAGTTTTGCCGCATCTTTCCCTAGCATGAGTTGAAAGGAAATTCGTCTCTTCTAATCCTAGTAAGACTGCTAGTGAGTGTTTCAAGGGGAGCTCTTATGTAAACTAGTAGGAGTATTGTTTCAAGAGATGGAGTTCTTTATTAGTGAAAAATATTTAAAGTTATCACCTGAATATTGTGTGAAGCTATATGTGATTGATAAAAATGCTTTGGCACTTGCTTTGATATGTATATTGCTACACTGCAACTATGCATTAATTTATTTGTTGTTGGCTGGGAGAAGATAATCTCAGGTCCCAGAGAAGTTCTGAGCTAAAACAGGATTAACTCGAACAGAATATTTTAATCATATAAGTGAAGCTCCCCTATCCAAAACAACCGTTCCGAAAGTACAAAGCAGGAATCCTGGGTCATTTCTGACTCTCTCCATTATCAAAACCGGAAAGAAGTAGGTAATAAAGTAATAGCATGTACTTGTATTCCTTGCTGTGTATCTGCAGTGTCATTTTGTGGACACAAGAACATTTCTTTCGATAAACAACTTCGAATGCCTAGATTTTGTAACCCCGATTATGTGAACGCACGGCCATTCAGAATTCTGGTCGACCCTGGTTTGGATGCTAGTTAGTCAGCAACAGTGTTAGTTTTTGCAGTATTTTAAAAAAAGCTACAAATTATAGCTCTTTCTTAATCAATGATTCCAAAACAGAGTTTCCAGAATCCGTGCAAAACTGGGATGCACCGAAAAAGAAAAACAAACGAAGCTTTATTGAGCGTACCCTGCCGCGTACTGATCTGCAGTGACTCTCTCTCTCTATATATGTGTATGTATGTATACTCCATGTACAGTATGTTGTCTTTGATTTTGCATATATAATTAATACTCCATGTACAGTATGTTGTCTTTGATTTGATTAAAGACCAAGTTGCATATGTAATTAACGTGCCTGAGTCCATCTTAATGGATTTCAGCAGTTGAAAATCATGTGAGTGATTATTTAAAAATATCATTATTGTTCCAAATTCTTGCATGCATCCGTGTCCAATCTTTAGAGATTATCTCTTATGACAAGTTGGGGGAGCAAGTTTAAAGGTTCTTTAGGGCTGCTCGCAAAGCAACATGTGCTACTGTCTATGAAATCAGTTCTCAGACAGCAAGTTGATCACAGAATAATCTGCTGAAGCATCATCAAGTGGGCAACCTCGACTATAGTTAGTAATCTTTGATTTTATATACAGACAATAAAATGGATCTTTTTAAAACCAATATTCAGTTGTTAAGTGTTTAACAATACATACAGGAAGTAGCAACTTCTCAGTTAAGGGTAACAGTCATGCTTTGCTCAGGGTTCTCAACCGGGTTCAGAAGTTGTCCTCTCATTCCTTTTAACTTGTTATCCTTTGTCCATACTGACCATGCTTTCTTCTTGTTTCATCTCTCTCTCTCTCTCCCCCGCGCGCGCGCTTGCATACAAACAAAATAGATACTACTACTGTGCAAGGAATTTGTTTAGGGAATTAAGACAGTTCAGATGTTGTCTTCCTTCTCTTTAACTTATCCTTTAACCAAATTGCTTATATTCTATTCTGTCAACCAAAATAAAATTGCTTTCAGCTGATCTTCTAGTTGTCCTTACAGGATGGCTTCCTCATCTCCTCTCTCTCTCTAAAGGATTTTTCTTTCTTTGGTATGTGTGTGTGACTCAGTGTGACAGAGTTCCTCACAAATTGTTTGATATTTTTTTTCAAACACAAACCAGAACTGATCAAGGAAAGTCTTCAAATCAATCCATTAACTATCACCAAAGGCCAAGGACTTGCTTTGTTAGTTTTTGCCCTCGACTCTAGCTATAGTGTATAATGGGACTCCGTCGTGATGCCTAAACTTTTCTAAAAAATTCCGTAATATCTGTAACTTCTAGTCTAATTATTATTAAATAAGAAAGCTAAGAACATGTTTCACGAGAGCTTAAAACCATTTGGTTGGATCCTTCCATTAATAATTTTACAGTAGCATTTTTGTCACATGATGAGAGTATACAGTGGCAGACTAATTAACAAAGTGGCCGACAGCTTCAAGTCCACCAACAAAAAAAAAAAAATGATAAGAGAAACACTGTGACCTATGAGTGAATATTCTACCATGGATTCAAGCAGTGTTTTTCGTTATCACTGTCTAATTCTCACATGTCTTTTCACGCAAATGAGAGATGTTTCCAGCCATGCTTCTCGGCCCCTAAGGCTTCTTGACGTCTTTCCAGCGGCTTTGTTTGGTTTAGATTCGTGTTAAGGCGTGCCAAGAACTTTGTTCAGGGGGTGGTAGCTTTGGGTTCCTGAAGTTGCCGCGTTTGATTTTTTTTTTTTTTGGCGGGCGTGGGTTCGGATGGCTTGAGCCTTCCTCTTCATCGGATGGGGGTGTGCCAACGTTGTGAATTAAAGGTTTTTGAAATTGAGTTTTAATTTATTTAATTTTTTATTTGAAAGTTTTTATTTTAAATTAATATTTTCAAATTACGATGTTAAAAGTAAATTGTTTTATTTTAAATTAATATTTTTAAATTACGATGTTAAAAGTAAATTTAATAAAAAATACTTCGCTGCCATGTTTATAAACACTGAACACCCCACTTGTGATGTACTAGGTTGTCCCCTGTCTACTAGAAAAATGGGGGTTGGTATAATTGGATTTCATTCATGGTTGCTTGAGAACAAGATGCGTGACCTTCGTTCTGCCTTTTCTCTCTTGCCACTGTGCTAGTTTCGTTGGCAAGCTACAAGATAAGTCTCTCTTTCTTTTTTGGTTTCGTTTTGTTTTTTTGTTTCATATTGCAATTGCTGGTTCCTGGGCTTTTCACGTCAGTTTCTTGGGTGGGATTGATTAGGACGTTGAAGAGCTTGGGCTACTGTGCGTTTTTATTTTTTGTTCTCTGTCTTGGGATTGAGTTGCCAACTCTGTGAGAGGGTTTTTTACATTTGGTTCTGGTGTTGAAAATGGATGGTGTAAGTTTCACATTGTAGATTTTGTGTTTCTCTCAATGGAAATCCAACTGCATTCATTCTTTTCCTTGTTTGCTTACCCAATAACTATTTGGCTAGGGTTTTTGGAGGAATCAATCTTCGTTTCTTTGACTGTTCAGGCTGAGTTGGATTGTAGGTTTGTGTTAAATGAATGGTGTTAGTCTCACATAAAGACATCATATGTATTGAGAGGAGTCTGTTCTTTTTTTTTTCCTAGAAGTGTTTTTCCTTCATTTAGTTGTTGGTTTATGTTCGGTTGTTTACTCATTCTTTGATTAATCCTGCCTTTGTATTAGGTGATGTGGCCTTGCTTCTTCTAGGTCATGGCAAGCCTGGTGTTTCTACTTTGCACCTGTGGTTTTCATTTTTTAGGGGAGGGGAGGGGAGATTGCTTTACAATTCGGTTACTCATGTTAGATCAAGCTTTTTTAAGTTAAATTATGGATCATGTTGAGTTAGGTATAAAATATGTTAATTAACTAAGAAATATATTAATTGAGTTGAAAATACTATTATTTATGGAGAAAATTAATGAATTTAAGTTGTTGCTTTTTATGTTATTGTTAGAGTTTTGTTGAATAAACTTTTATTAAAATTATATACCTTGATGGATCTTATTATATTAATAAATTAGGCTAAACTTTTATTAAAATTATATACCTTGATTGATCTTATTATATTGAGATTTGTTGTGTTGTTTTTTAAAAATTTTATAGTATTCAAATACTATGTTTATATGGTGGTACCATTGTCTATATCGATAATTGTATTATTTACAATGAAGAAAATAATAAATTTCTAATTATTATATTAAATATGTTTTTTATTGAGCTATTAAGAATGTTAATGCTATGTGATTGACTTAACTGTAATCTATTTGAAATTAAAGCTGAAATTACATAGAAGGTAAAAAATAATGTTAGTTCAATTTGTTATGTTAGTATATCTATTTATAGTGATGAAAGTGTGAATTATATGTTTGGGTCTACTAATAATGAGTTGTATATTCTACAACTCTACTTAAATAATATATATATATGTTTGGGGGGCCTCGAATCCATAGTGTTGTAGGCAATGTAATGTCAATATTCCTCCCAACATTGCTTAAGAACTTTTGAGCTATTCTTAACTATAATTAGGGGACATGCTTGCATACCTTTATTAGTAACTATATAAAGCATGTATAAAGTAGAGGAAACAAATATTCGGGTGTCTATTATTTATCAAAGTATAATTATGTTAAATGTTTTTCAATGAATAATTTACTTTGTTTGGTATAATTAATTCCATTTTAAATACTAACTTTGAATTATAAATGTAAATTAATATAGATTTTATTATGGAAGTATATCTATTTTGAGCGTCGAGGGAGTTGAGGTAATAATATGTTCAACATAGACACCCAAAACAACTCTTTATAAGATCTAGTTAATTATAAAACTTAATAAAATTTGAATAAT